GAAGAGGTGGGCTGCTTAGAGGTTGGGATATGGCAAGTTCAAGTACAAAGGGAAGGTGATGAAGACAGAAGTTTTAGTATTGGCTGGTGAGAGGCCTGTTTCTAGGCCTGTCATTAAAGAACTGTTATAGGAAAATCCCTTAATTGCTATGAATCTTTCTTTTGGTGGGTAGTGCTGGAGTTTGAACTCAGGTCCTCACGTTCTGGCTCATCTTTTTTGCTCATAGTTGGTATTCTACCATTTGAGTCATGCCTATAGTCTAGGATTTTGCTGGTTAATTGGAGACAAAATCTTTTGAATTTTTTTGCCTGGGCTGGCTTCAAAGAATCTGTGATCTCAGTCTCCTGAGTAGTAGTAGCTAGTACGTCACGTGCCCAGCTTGGCATACAGTGCAAAGGCAGGATATGGTAAGGTTTGAGCCATGTCCCCAATTCTTGGATCTCAGTTTTCTAGTTCATAAAATAGTGTTCATAGTGTGGGATGTACTCGTTTTACAGGGTAGATATAAAAATCAGGGCTGGGAAGGTGGCTCAGTAGTAGAGCGCTTGCTTTGCATGCCTGAGGCCCTGGGTTCGATTCCTCAGTACCACATAAGCAAAAAGAAAAAAGCCGGAAGTGGTGCTGTGGCTCAAGTGGTAGACCGCTAGCCTTGAGCTGAAGAGCTGAAGGACAGCACCCAGACCCAGAGTTCAGACCCCATGACCGAACCCCCCCCCAAAAAAAATCATTTTGGCGGGCTGGGAAGGTGGCTCAGTGGTAGAGTGCTTGCTTTGCATGCATGAGGCCCTGAGTTCAATTCCTCAGCACCACATAAGCAGAAAAAGTCAGAAGTGATATTGTGGCTCAAGTGGTAGAGTGTTAGCCTTGAGCTGAAGAGCTGAGGGATAGTGCCCAGGCCCAGAGTTCAGGCCCCCACAACCAACCAAAAAAAAAAAATCATATTGGCTATAGCAAGGTTCTGAAGACTGCACAGCTTGTTAAGTCTATGTACAAAGGGCACATGCCACTTATTATTTCTGTTTGTTGAATTGTCATATTGTCTGTGAGCAGGAACAGAATGGCTCCAAGGGGCTAAGCAAGGAAGTAACTTGGTAAATGACCAATAGTCAGATACCTTATTGTAGGTAACAAAGAGTTCCTATGTCAAGCACATTAGTACATCAGACACCTGGGAGTATGTGTGTAAAATATGAATTTGAAGCTGGACACTAGTGACTCACACCTGTAATCCTAGCTCCCCAGGAGACTGAGACCTGAGGATAACAATTCAAAGCCAGTCCAGGCAGGAAAGTCCTTGAGATTCTTATCTCTAATAAACTATCCAGAAAAAGCTGAAAGTGGTTCAAGTGGTAGAGCATTAGCAAAAGAAGCTCTGGGACAGCACCCAGGCCCAGAGTTAGAGTCCCAGACTGGCAAAAAAAAAAAAAAAAAAGATTAATTTGAAAGGACAGAATGACAGAATACCAAAGGTAGGACTGACCTACCTACCCTGTGTGGAAACTAGACAGGCATGGAGGCAAGCCTGGCCTCTTTGCATATTAAGACAGGCCTGTTGGCAAGGTACTTGGCACTCAGCATGCAGAGCTGAGTCAAAGTGTGACCTTCCTCTTCCTGGCTAGGGCAACTCTCTATATACAGGTATCCCACAATATTCAAGGGTTCCAGGACCCCTGAAGATTCCAAAGATCTGCAGATGCTTGCTCAAATTTCTTTTCTACAATGACACAGTATTGGTACAGAACCTACATACACCCTTCTGTATGTTACAGATCATCTTTAGGTTACTAATACGTCCTATATGTGAAGATTGTCCATCATATTACTTAGGGACTAATGAGAAGAAAAGTCTGTTTATGTAAGTACAGACATCATTCTCCCCCTAAAGTAATTTTGGTCTATGGTGGTTAAATCTGGATGCCAAATTCACAGATATGGTGGGGGGAATATGGTGGGGGAGGGGAGAAGCTGAAGCTGATTATATTTGTAAATTTTACCTTTTATTAGTTCCTTAGAGGGACAACTAGTGGCTTTTTGTAAAAGGGACTGGCCTTACCTTTAGGGAACTTCTCTTCTGAATGCAGGGCCCTGGAGGAGGGAAAATGCAAGAATGAGAATGGGTAAGTCACCTTTCCTTTGTGCCAACAGGGAGGGGCTTATACATAGAGGAAGGCCTGCAGGGCCATGGTTCTCCCATCCTATAGGTTCTTTCTTTCTTTCTTTCTTTATTTTGGGTCCGGTCATGGGGCCTGAACTCCGGGCCTGGGCGCTGTCCCTCAGCTCTTCAGCTCAAGGCTAGCACTCTACCACTTGAGCCACAGCGCCACTTAAGGCTTTTTTCTTTTTTGCTTATGTGGTGCTGAGGAATTGAACCCAGGGCCTCAGGCATGCAAGGCAAGCGCTCTACCACTGAGCCACCTTCCCAGCCCTAGCCCAAGTTTTAACTATCTAGGGGTATAGGATGTTTTTCTCTTGAAACTACTATGAGTATGGTGAGAGGAAGTTGTTTATGTTTCTTCCCTGATGTTTCCTCTCCTTTCTGACCTCCTCCACTCCCACTTTCTCACCAAGAAGCCATTCTGTGCTCACTACCTTGAGAGGAAGGATGAAGCAAGTCCAACAGTAGTGATATCTGGGTTGCTTTCCTGATTTGTTGTGAAAGCTCCTGCCCATCACATCAGACTTACATACTTAAGATCAGGGACTCTAGGGAGCAAGAGGTAAAGAAGGTGAGAGTGGACAAACTTATGGAACTGACTCTCTCTCATAGTACTTAGAAATGGAAGACCCTGAAAAATATTTCTGGGATACTGAGGAGGAAGTGAATTGTCCTGTGTTCTAGGCAGATTCTTGGGGATATTGTGACTTCAAAGTGGATATCTTGGGAAAGAAGTGAGTGCTAGTCGCTCCTTGAACTAGCTCAGAGATTATAGGCAAGCAAGTGTGTTACTGGGAAGGAAGCCTAGGGACAGGGACACCAGGGATCTTGGGTAGGAAGGAAGCCAGGAAAAAGTCTGAAAGGTGACCCAAGAGGCCACGAGGGGAAGAAACAGACAGTGCTAGACAAGGCAACAGTTGGACAGCTGACAGGCAGAATCATGTGCCGCAGAAGGGCCAAGACGATGAGTCTCATGGACTTAGCAGGCAGAAGATGACCATGGAGAAAAGTTCTGGCAGACAGTGGCCATGTCCATCATTTCTAAAATTTAGAGCTCAGTGGTTGTCCATGGTTTCAGAAGTGATGAGAACCTCTTCTGAGGAAGTTCTATCTGCAGATACATGGTTCCCTGGGTTCTCTGCCCCGAAGCAAGCTTTCCTTACCTTTTCCACTCCAAAGATGATGGAACCAGGGATTGGAACCAGCCAAGTCCCTCTCAGGTATCTAGGTAACACTGCCTGTTGAGGTACTCCTGCTTGGTTTGCAGTAGACCTGGTCTGCTCCTTTCTGTGGAACAGTGTGGGTACTTGGGGTGGTCACAAGTCTCACATACATCTGCAATGAAGTTGAGCCATTGTTCCTAGTCTCAAAGGGGCCTACTGTCTAATCTTAGAAGCCCAAGGCCTCAGGGTAACCAAAGCCCATTCCTGGACTGCCTCATTTCCCATAACCAGATTGATGATGTCATCTCCAACTTCAATTTCTTTACTGCTCTAGCATGTTCAGACGAAAGCTCATTCTGCTAGAGAACAGGAAACATGTTCATGGTTGGATGATCCTAAGTTACTCAACATCTTTGAGGTTTCATTTGGTTTTATTAGCCAAATGAAGATATCAGTAAAATAAGGTGTCAGTGGAGAACAAATGGAATTATTATTTTTAGACAGGACTTTGCTAGTAGGCCAGGTTGGCCTTACAGGTGTGTGCTACCATGTCTAGCACAACAACTAGAATTTCATATGTGTATATTCCCCTTCCAAAAAAAAAAGATTGGAAACAGTATACAAAAATCTATAATGGGAGATGAAAAACCAGAGTAAGGGAGGGAAAAGATGAAGCAAGTACACTGATCCATAGAACCCATTTTCTGAAGTCTTGTTCTTGCATTACAAAGGTTGTAAAATTCTGTGGCCAAAGCAGAGAGAGAAATAAAATCAGTTACACACACACACACACACACACACACACACACACACACACACACACAGCTGCTTAGGAGAAGAACATTGCTACTGAACGATTTCTCATAAAGCGGATGAGATGTAGTGAGGGAGGTGATGAGGGAGCAACATCACCAACAGCAGCTGTGTATGAATGCAGTCAGATTCCCTGGGCCCAGAGGAAAGGTGCTTTAGTAACCATGACCCCTGAATGAATGGGCAAAACTTCTCCCATCTCCATCACCAGAGAAACCTACCTCACAGTGGTGTACAAAGCAATGTGATTGCTGTGACCACTGACTCCTCCAGCATCGAAAGTCACCACCTGCAGAGACAGATGAGGACAAGGGGGTGCTGTGCTTTACAGGTGCTTTCTCCATTCTTCAGCTTCAAAGAAGCTGTCGTCATTACCTTGGAAAAGAAAGGAGGAAACAGAGCCCAGAAACTTAATATTCTGAGAAGTGTGAACCAACTTCTCAACAGATTATGGTATGTAAGCAGTTTGGATGACAGTAACAGGGAGGCTGTTTCCATGGGGTTTACTTACTCTTATTTCTGGCCAGCACAGAAGAGTGTTATTCAGTCATGAAGAAACAGTTTTAGAATAGTGCTTATCTGCATGGCCATTTACTAGCATTTACTTTTCCTGGCTGGCAATTAACATGAACTTTGTTCAAGTGGGTGCAGCCTATTTGTTGGGGCTCTTTTTTTTTTTGGTCAGTCATGGGGCTTGAACTCTGGGCCTGTCCCTGAGCTCTTCAGCTCAAGGCAAGTGCTCTACCATTTGAGCCACAGGCCACTTCCGATTTTCTGAGTGATTTATTGGGGATAAGAGTCTCTTTCCTGCCTGGCTGGCTTTGAATGGCGATCCTCAGATCTCAGCCTCTTGAGTAGCTAGGATCACAGGCTTCAGCCACTGGCACCCAGCTATTCAGGCTCTTTTCCTCACATGATGTCATAGGCACAAAACCTCTAAGGGCGAATGTCCACCACAGCCTAGGCTTGAGTTCATGGAAGAAGTATATATATATATATATATATATATATGATAGGCTGCCTCTAATTCCATTTTCCCAGATATGACCACATTTGTTTATTAATTACAAACTTAGCAACGTTCTAACATTTCACTTTTGCACAGATGGATTTTAAAAACACCAAAAGGGGCTGTGCACCAGTGGCCTGCACCTGTAATCCTAGCTACCCAGGAGGCTGAGATCTGAGGTTCAAAGCCAGCCAGGCAGGAAAGTCCATGAGACTCTTATCTTCAATTAACCATCAGAAAATTGGAAGTGGTGCTGTGACTCAAGAGGTAGAGCTAGCCTTGAGCTGAAGAGCTGAGGGACAGCGCCCAGAGTTCAACCCCCACAACCGACCAACAAAACAAAACAAAAAACACCAAATGGGAAATAAGAATAACAAAAAGGGCATTGATGGCTCATACCTGTAACCCTAGCTACTCAAGAGGCTGAGATCTGAGGATCATGGTTCAAAGCCAGCTCAGGCAGAGTCAGAAATGGATCTGTGGCTCAAGTAGTAGAGTGCTAGCCTTGAGTACAAAAGTTCAAGGACAGTGCTCAGGTCCTAAGTTCAATGACTGGCATCAAAAAGAAAAGGGTATCCTGAATAATAAAATATAAAAACAAACAAGGGTTCCATTTTGAAAGGATGGTTGGTTAGGGAATGATAAATGGGGCATGTCCCTAAACAAAGATGTTAGCATGGATACTTGGGAACTGGGACTGGAATAGGCAGGGAAGTTCTATTTTTTTGGTCTTGGGGTTTAAACTCTGGGCCTGGGCACTGTCCTTCAGCTCTTGAGCTCAAGGCTAGCACTTTACCACTTGAGCCATAACACCATTTTTGGCTTTCTGAGAGGTTTATTGGAGATAAGAGTCTCATAGACTTCTTGCCCGGGCTGGCTTTGAACAGTGATCCTCAGATCTCAGCCTCCTGAGTAGCTAGGATTGTCATCAACAGAGGTGAGGTTTAGTGAAGCTCTCCCCACCCCTTTTTTTTTTTTGGTCTGGTCGTGGGGCCTGAACTCTGGGCCTGGGCGCTGTCCCTCAGCTCTTCAGCTCAAGGCTAGTGCCATACCACTTGAGCCACAGTGTCACTTCCGGCTTTTTTCTTTTTGCTTATGTGGTGCTGAGGAATTGAACCCAGGGTCAGCCATGGAAAGCAAGTGCTCTACCACTAAGCCACCTTCCCAGCCCCTGAAGCTCCCCTTTAAATATAGGAATTCTTCACTTAGGGTTCTTGACTTCAATCGCAGAATAAGAATTTCTGGACAAGTCACAATGGTAAGAAAACTTGGCAGAGCTTTATTAAGTAAACAAGCAAGAAAACAGACAGACAAAAAAGCAGAAGGGCAGGGGCACATTCTAGTAGAGTGTGGGTGCTCTCATAAGGACACAAAGACACAGACATAGACACAGACAAGGAGATACCCAGAGAGACACACAGCTCCTTTGGCTGTTGGCTATTTATAGGGTAAAGGCAGGGGGTCTGGCTTTAAGTTATGCAAAGCTAGGTGCTTTGTCTTTGCTTTAACTACATCTGCTGTTATTCTTAGAGTTTCCAGGTAAGAATGTATCCTTCCGGGGCTGGGAAGATGGCTCAGTGGTAGAGCGCGTGCCTTGCATGCCTGAGGCCCTGGGTTTGATTCCTCAGCACCACATAAGCAAAAAGAAAAAAGCCGGAAGTGGCGCTGTGGCTCAAGTGATAGAGCGCTAGTCTTGAGCTGAAGAGCTGAAGGACAGTGCCCAGACCCAGAGTTCAGGCCCCACAACCGGACACCCCCCCCCAAAAAAAAGAATATATCCTTCCATAAAACAGATCCTTATCCCTGAAAGGAGGAGATATCTGCTTTCTGCATTTTGTAGCATCCTGTCAGGCAGTTGTGAATTATTTGGGTGAGAAATGCATCCCTTAGGAAAGAATGCATTCAGTTGCCTCTCTTTGAAGCAAAGATAGTAGCGCTTCTAAGTTTTTAGATACCATATTTCTTAGTTGCCTACACCAGATCTCAGTTTCCATAAATTATCCTGCTTCGGGATTACAGGTGTGAGCCACCGGTGCCCAGCAGTTCTATTTTTTAAAACTGTTATTATAAAGGTGATATACTGAAGGGTTACGGTTATATGACAGGTAATGAGTACATTTCTTTCTTTTTTTGGGGGGGGTCCGGTCGAGGGGCCTGAACTCTGGGCCTGGGTGCTGTCCCTCAGCTCTTCAGCTCATGGCTAGCGCTCTACCACTTGAGCCACAGCACCACTTCCTTTTTTTTTTTTTCTAGTGGTTTATTGGAGATAAGAGTCTCATGGACTTTTCCTGCCTGGGCTGGCTTTGTACCTTCCTCAGATCTCAGCCTCCTGAGTAGCTAGTGGCATGAGCCACCAGCGCCCGGCAGAGTACATTTCTTTCTTTTTTTTTTTTGTCGGTCGTGGGGCTTGAACTCTGGGCCTGGGCGCTGTCCTTCAGCTCTTCAGCTCAAGG